AAATCAAAATAGTTAACACATACAAGCATCACCAATATAATTTAATATTATAATTTTTAGTAAATATATTTGATTAAATTTACAATGTTTAAATGATAAATATATTAAAATTAAGGGTAAAATGCGTGAAATAGCAACTTACTTTTATATCAAAATACGCGAAATAGCAACCTATTTTTTGCTTTTAATTTTAATATATTTATCATTTAAATATTGTAAATTTTATCAAATATATTTACTAAACATTATAATATTAAATTGTATTGGTGATGCTTATATATCTTAGCTATTTTGATTTGTTTGGAGAGTTTTAACAGAGTATTTTTTTTATTTAAAAAATATAATATTTAATTTAACAATAAAACTTACATAATGGTAAAAAAATTAAATTTCATATAATGTTTGATATATTATTGCAAATATGTTAATGCTAAAAAAAAGTTATCGGTTTCGGTGTCTTTTGTCTTATATAATATGTCCAAAAATAAAAATAAAAACAATATTAAAATCTCAAATAATATTTATTATAATTTTTAGTAAACATATTTGATTAAATTTACAATGTTTAAATGATAAAAAAATATTGAAATTAAAAAATATAATGTTGTAATAGAAATCGGTGATGTTATAATAAAGTAATTTTAGAAGTACAATGCTATAATAAGAAATGTCATGTCAGTACTATCGTCCATGTGAACAGCCTACGTGGACGATGAAATGACAAAGACACCTGATATAATGGATAAATTTAATTTAAAAGGTTACTCAATGCTATAACAGGTAAATTTTTGAAAGTAGGAAGTCCCAATAACTTTTTTTTAAAGTACATTGATGTAATAAGAAAAACTGAAAATAAAATGTTATAATAAGAAATTTGTAAAAATAGGTTGTTATTTGACGTCTTTTACCCTTTTTTAATTGAATTAGAAAAAAATTATTTTGATTGAATTAGAGAAAAAATATTAAAGTGTTTCTTAAAAAGATATAAATTATATCAGGTATCGTTGTTGACGTAACAAAACTAAAAAAAAAGTTATATTAATATTTCTAAATTGATTATTATAATATTGATATAATCTTAATTTAAAAATTAATAATATTACCATAATCATAATTTTAGAATAATAGTGTTACAAAATATAAATTATTTATTATTATAACATTACAATTGGCTCAAAAATACATATCCATAAAGAAAACCGCTTTACAAATACTAATTTTTTAGTTAATTAAATAACAATCATATGTTTGCTATTTGCTGATATAAAATAAGAAAATAGTGTCACGTGACTTCATCTTTTCGAAAGTTATTAGTTTGCCTCTTAATAGTTTCATTAAAGGACAACTTTTGAATCGTTAAGAAATGAATTTTGTTTGATAAAAAAAGTCTGTTTTTTAATCGTTATAAAACTCTCTGAATAATTTTGTATCTTGTACCTCCCTTATCCATTCAGCGTCCTAATTTCATTTTAGACAATTACCAAACAATTATATTTCATTTTGTACTATATTATAAGAGTCTCTTAATCATTTTGACCACTTAATCATTATGTATCAAACAATTTAACAACTACCAAACAACACCTTAGTAATGCTAGTTGTGCAATGTACCGAGAAATTGTAATTAGCAGATATAATTTTTTTAATAAAAATAATATTAATAGTAGTGACAATAATATTACAATAACACAAATATTATCTGTAATATTTGAAACAATTTTTCTACCCCCACCTTCAAATTTTATATATAATAATTATTTATTTATAAATTTTATATA